CCAAATGAGCTATGTTTTCTAGGGCATCTTTCTTACGAACAATTATTACGTCCTCCGACCGGATGCATAGAAGCATCCCGTTGTAGGCAAAAAAAAACTCGGTACACCTCCGTACCGCGTTTTTTTTGCCTACGACCTGATGCTTCTTGCATCCTGTCAACCGAACCAAATAAAAGTTCCTTTCTTACAGCTTTGTTTTTCAGACCGAAATCAGAATTTTAATTTAGCCACTAATTGTTCATTTCTTTTAAGAATTTTTTGTTCAAGAAAATTATTTTTAACATCAACTTTCAAATAATTGAGTTTCTTTACAGCAGCTTTACAATCATCTTTATAAAAAATTGCAGCTGTACTAAATGGACCCACCAGGTGCAGCCCCCAACTATGACAATTTTACTTCTTTTTTTTATTATTATTAGTGCTTTGCCGATCTCAAAATTTTCTTGTGACAGAATTTAAGGACCGGGTTTATGAATCACATTAACAACAACCAGTCGAAAAAGATTGGATCCCATGATGACAAGTAATTCTATGTATGTTACTTCAACAACAAAGTATTTTTCATTGAGAGATTCGGCTCATGTTGCGTTGTTGGTGCATGCAATTGATTTGTCTTCTCATAGTTTTGTTTTGTATTGCAGCCTTCAAGATCTGCATGCTGCATTTCTCTGATGTCTATTCTTGAAGATGCCAAATAACAGGATTAATTATTCTGTGCGGACGTGAACGTTGTTTAGAGACCAATCAGAATGTGTGACGTCATCCCTTCGTTGTGTACCGCAGCTCGGTACCGTTGATGTGGCTGCACCTGATTCGCCTTCGGATGTAGAGCTGAATCCGGCCTCAGTACAGAAGAACTCTCGAACCGCAAAGCCATAAAATATAAGCAACAAGAAAGTTATTCCAAATATATCCTTAATTAAAATTGAAGAAGTTAAGATAATTTTTATGTGGGAAATATACTCAAAATTGATCATAAAATTAAAGGGTTTTAAGATATTAAACTTCTATATTTTCATTTGAATTTGTTACAAATGATTATAATGTAAAGCAAATCTATAAAATAAGATTGATTAATTTTATTGTGCAAATATTATTGCAATAATTATTAAATAGAAACAATCTACTAATAGTTTTGAATTTATTATAAATTGACCTTAAATGTAATATTAAAAAATAGGAGCACACGTGAATTTTTGTCCATATAATTAATTTTGTCTTCTTTGACTTTTAGGCTTCGTTTGAGATAGCATTCTTACTGTTTTCTAAAGCAACTTTTTAGTACAATATTTTCTTAAAACAGAAATGTTTATACTTAAAGGCTTGTTTAGAAAGCAACGAGAAAGTTGTTCCAAATAAAAATTTATTATAAAATAAAAAAAATAATAATTCATGTAGCTAACCTCACATCGGAGATAAAAGCTTGACGTTATTATTAGTGCTTCTAATTACTCATATTAAGCAATTAAAAAGTTATTAGAAAATCAACTTAGGCTTTATTTGGGACGACTTTTTATTGCTTTTTAAAATAAAGTTTTAGTAAAAAAATTAAAAAATTTGTTCTAAAACTTTATTTTAAAAAGCAATAAAAAATTTATCGCAAACAAAATCTTTATCTTCCAATTAACCAAAATTGAGTTCATGACGCTGGATGTATAATGTGCGAGTGCACATTAATTGAATTGATAAAGATCTTAATATTTATTATAAACATCTTACATAAAATAAACAAAAATTGGATAAGAATAAATATATTTAAATTATTTTCAGATTAACATATTATAAATTTTAATTGATTTCTCGCCGTCAAAAAATAAAAAAATCTTTTACATTACGATTAATGAATTTAAATTTTAATTCTCACAATTTCCAAGAAAATATTCCATGTAGATGCCGAGGACTTTCTGGTCTTTTCGTACACGTATGAGCACGGTGAATGTGAGAAAATGGTTAGCCGGAATTCACGGGAATAAAAGTACTGAACATATAGTGTGGGCCCGCCCGGTCCGATTTCCTTGAGTCGGTGTCAACGCGGTCGCCGACATGTGGATCCGAGGCAGAGGTGAAAATCATAATATCTTCAATAAGCCGGGGTCTTTATGATAAACTCCTTTCTCAATACACAGCTCATGTTGACCTGTTGGTTGAGAGTAGGGGTGTAAACGAGTCGAGTCGAGTCGAGTATTTGCCTTATCAAGCCTGGCTCGTTTAGTCCTTAATGAGCTCGAGCTCGAGCTCGAGCTCGAGATCGAGCTCGATTAGTAGGCTCGAGCTCGACTCGTTTAGAAAATATCAAGCTCGAGCTCGACTCGAAAGCTCGAGCTCGTTTGAAAAGCTCGAGCTTGAGATCGAGCTCGTTTGAGAATTACCAACGCATGTGATGGGTATTATTATATATATAATTAATATTATAAATATAATATATATAATGTCCGCACGACGTCCAATGTCCGCATAGAATAATTTTTATAGAACTCAATGCCTCAGACTAAATACTTAAGGAAATTTAGTTTTTTTTTTTTTCTTGAATAAAATATTCCAATCTTGGTAACATTTTGTGAGCAATATTAAAAGATAAAAACCCTAAATTTTTTATTTAATATGTAAGAAAAATTATGAAATTTATATACATAGCACTCAAAATTATTTAATCAATATTAAAATTTTACTATTTACATAATTTAATATTTTTTTAATCGAGTTAAAGAACCTCTCAATGCGAATAGGTTATTGCAATGAGGTCTCATGTAAAGTCCTACACGAGGTCCTGATTGGATACCTATGCTTTACTCGGACGGCCTTCGCACACCCATTGTAACTTTTGGGATGTCAAACCAACCTAATTTGAATGAAAACAAGGTGAAGTTGCTTTGAGCACCAACCCCCTCCTTCCTCACGTGGCTTCCAACATAGAAATTATTCTGTGTGGAGACTGAACACAGAACGTCATTTGGAGGCCAACTAGAATGCTCCACATTAGCAATACCGAGCCGCGGTATAGAGCAAGGGATGATGTGTCACAATTTTATTGATCTCCGGATGACATTCAACATCGAGACATAATAATTAAATACGTACAAGCAGAACATTAGGATTTCATTAGGAAGGGCTACGATATGCAAAATACTGATACAGTTAAAATTTAGACTCTTTTAAATGTGTTTCTAATGCAATATATGTTGGTCAAAATACCCAAATCATGTTTTCTTTAAAAAAAAAAAGACTTAAAATAAATTTTTATATGATTAGACTTTTCGAGGTTTAACACATCATCCTCATAGGTCGGATAATCTTAACTGTACCTGTAGGTGGGGAAGTGTCTTAAAATAAGAAAAGAAAGATGCATTAATATGCATGCGACCCCGGGGGCAATCCCCGGCTTGTTCCCTAGATTCATTGTCTTTCTATATCGCTTAATACTATATGTTATAATACGGCATCACAAAATTAGCTTGATCGGGCACGAATCTCGAGGCAAAAGCTAGTTGGAAACTTCAAAAATTAAATTTGGAAGGTCCCAAACTCCAATTTCAGTGAACTTATAGTCAAACTGAGCATCTTGGAAATACAAACCCAACGACACCAAATTCAACCCAATCCGAGCCCAAATAGGTCAGAATTAAGGACCCGAAGCGCTGTTGGAAGGTTCAAACCGCAATTTGAGTTACCAAACGGTCTTCGATTTTGACGATCTTATACTCGAATCGAACGGCTCGACGAGACAAATCCAACGAGCCCAAGATCTACGAATTCCGACATCACAAAGGCCTCTAAATGTCCAATGAAGGGTGCACAATCGAAGGGTTCAATATCGGTCGTCCGTTCAAACCACTCCGTATTCGTCCCTGATCTCACACCTATTTACGAGCCATGCCACTCCAAAAAAAACTACAAATAGAGACCTCATTCTTCACAAAGGGGACTGAAGTGAAGAGAGAGAAGAAGAAGAGGAGGAGAAGGAAGAAGCTCCTCCTCGACCATCGCCGGAGCTCTTCCCGCCGCTTGAAGACGCCAGAACTCTGCCGGATTTTCGGGAAACGTCGAGAATTTGCAGAACTTTGTAACTTTTTGAGAATTTGATTATAAAATGATCATCTTGATTTGTAAGACGGATCAACCTTTGTACTTGAAACAAATACTAGTGGAACTTTACAACTGGACGAGGCCCCGTGGTTTTTTCCCTCTTTCGGGTTTTCCACGTAAAAACCTTGGTGTTCATTTCTCTTTTTTATTTGTGTTCTGAATACTCGTACAATGCTCGGACGCAAATTTACAAACTCTACTGCCGCGTATATTCTAGTACGTAACAGTTTGACGTCGTCTGTGGAAAACACTATCCCACAACTTTAAGTATTGCTATAATGGTCAACAGGCGTAGCAGTCGCATCATTGGAGCTTCCCCCTCAAACTCCCACCAATCCAGAAATCTGTCTGTAAATCACAGACGCGCGATGTCTGTCTCTTTTCATCCTGGGGGGCAGAATGCTGCCGGAGAAGGGACCTCGGGACCTTCTTTAGAAGAAAGAATCCGGAAGATGAAAGAATCTCAGAACGAGATCCTTCAACTCCTGCGAGATGATCGTCAGCCGACATTGGAGGAGGTTCTTCTCCCTCAGGATCCACCAAGGGTTGAAGATGTTCAATTCGAGCATCTTCAAGAAGAGATTCATCTTTCTCCACCTAGGAGACATCGTCAATCATGACAGGATGATGAACTTGACGATACAACGAGTTCAACACATCCTTCCCCCTCGACTCGGCAGCCTCGCATTCTTTCGGATCTCCTAGAAGGCTCTGCCCAACCACACATTATGGAACTCCCTCACAATGTCCTGCATCACGAACTGCGAAGATTGGTACGGGAAGAGTTCCCCGGAGGAGATGTGAGGTATGCTCTCCGATAGAGGAACTTCTAGGAGTCATCACCTATAACTGAATCCATTCTTCAGCACCCCATTCCGGTCGGATTCAAAGTGCCAAACGTTGAGTTCTACAATGGGATGACCGCCCCGTATGAGCATATCGACTACTACAGAATCATCATGCATCTTCAACGAGCACCAGACGCACTCCTTTGCCAGATTTTTCCTTCCACCCTTAAAGGACAGGCTCGAACGTGGTTCTATTCTCTTCCATCCAGAACGATCCCTTCATTTATCAAATTATCCAAACTATTCATTGAACAGTTTGTGGCTAATCGAAGAATTGCTAAGGATTCTTCCCACCTCTCCGGGATCCACCAAAATGAGGGAGAATCGTTGAAGGAGTATTTTCAGCGGTTTTCCACCGAGGCTCGACAGATTCCAGGAGTAGACCCTAAATTACTTAGAGGGGTTTTTCTTGGAGGTCTTCATCCTGTCCCCTTCTATTCAGTACTCATGCGCGATACTGTTCATTCATATGCTGACCTGATCCATCGCGTGGAGGCACAAATTTCTGTAGATGAAGCTATAAATGCTCACAGGAAGTAATTTGAGCAAATCAATGGGAAGCGCAAAGGTGCACCTATAATGGACAATTAATTCTCACAACATAAAAAGCAAAGGCAGAATGATCTACCTCCTAGGCCTCCATTACCGTGATGGGAACCCCGACAGGAGGAGTATACCCCACTTAACACGTCTCGAGCAAATGTATTGATGGCAGTTCGAGATCAAGATACATTAAAATGGCCGAATCCTTTGAAGTCGAACACAGGAAATACAGATCAGCACTGTCACTTTCATCGAAGTCGTGGTCACACCACCGAAGCCTGTAAGCAACTCAAGGATGAGATTGAAAGACTTATCCATCAAGGCTACCTTCGACAATTTCTTAGGGATCCACCTACCCGAGAGGAAGCTTGTCCCGCTGGGGGGAAAAATCAGAAACAAAGACAACCATTGAATAATATTCAAGTGGTTGGAGAGATTGAATGATCACGCACTTTGTGCATTTGTATTAGCAATACTACTTGTCTTGTTGTCTCTTTTAAGTTGAGTATGGTGTCACTTTGATATCTCCAATGTCTTCTTTCAAATTAAATGTTATATTGTCACCGTATGTAGATCTTATGTATTGAGTACTTTATAATTTGTATATTCCTGACTCATATGAGGGAACTATTGTACTGTCTTACATGATGCAGTAATTTAATGTTCATGTTGTTGTGATATTATTTTCTCTTGTGAAAGATAAAAAAATTTTCAAACTCTTTCTCCGCGATTTGAGAAATAAACAATCTATATTGTATCTCAATCACCAGATGATCAATCCCAGGGGGATTTGATCTGACCGCTTCCACACAGGTTAACGTCATTGAGCAAGACTCTGACATACAACCTCGGATAGGTCTTACATCCTTGGTGGATTCTCTCGACCTCTTCCACACAGGTTAACGTCACCGAGCAGGGCTCTTACATGCAACCTAGGATATGTCTTACATCCTTTCTGGATTCTCTTTCAGTTAACACTATACGTCTGTCGCCAGAATGTCGGCATAACACACTGCTCCGGCCCCTTGAATCAGGGATATCTGATGTCGGCAAACTTTCATATGGATGTTTGTTATCTTTGCAAAATGCAACTAGACCACCGTCATCATCGGCTCTTTTCCTAATGTTCGTCATCGGTACTTTGCTTTGTATAAGCCATCATCGTCTTCTTACTCGACTGCTACTTGCAACGCACCCTCAAACTCTCTCCTTTGACTCTACACTCCGTCGTTGACTGCTAATGGGCTTCAACTCGATCGTCCATCACCAGTGAACTTTCGCTCAAATGGAATAGAAAAATCCCCTAACTGCTGAACTAGAGGAGGGGCGCTAATTCGAGCAGGGGAAATTTCCCACTCACAAATAGCGGAAGCCTCAACCGTCAGAAAGCTGGGGGAGGAGAAGAAAAATCCCCTATATTCTGCACGAGAGGAGGGGCACTAAGTCGAGTAGGGGAAATTTCCCACTCACAAATAGTGAAGCCTCAACCATCGAAAAGCCAGAGGGGTGGAAGAAAAATCCCCTAACTTCTGCATGAGAGGAGGGGCGTGTTGACCTCATTTTTGTATGAGGTCTCCATGTACTACCCCACACTTTTGATTCTACATCTAGTGGTTGATAGCCTGCCTCCTGTCAATCACTTCAAATAATCTAAATCAATCATCCAGTCTAAAAATCAAACCCATAAATCAACCAATCATTCAGTTTTACCTATATCTACTCAACCAGTCAATCAATATTCAACCACTCAATCAACCTGCATTCAAATCAATTTATCAATCAATCGACCATAAATCCCATTCAACCAATCAAATCTTGACCATCTCAATCCAGCATTAAACAGGCACTCAAATTTCAATCACCTGCTATTGCAGCCTCACACAACAATCACCGAGTTTAGTGTATTATCTAGCATAGTACATTGACTACCTTTGACCTCAGTCAAGGTCTAAATCTTTTCACTAGGAGACCCCCGCACCAAATCTATCATTTTCAAATCCTTGAACCACTGATAAATCAATATGATCTACTTGAGCTAGCGCAAGCTAGCTCAACTAACCATATGCAACATTGACCTTCAATTCATCACTAAATGACCTCTGAACTTCACCAAACTGCTACAAACATAGTTCCTAGTGATTTGGACTTGACTGGTCATCCCAACCCAATCACCAGTTGACTTAGTCAATAAACCTAATTCTAGTTAAACTAGTTCAATCTAAGCCAAACTCAAGCCATACATCTAATCAAACCCAGATTCAAATCCAATGCTCAAAGGTTTTGTCCTAAAGGCCTTTTCCAGTGAATTTTCAAACATTTCAAAACCCAGTCAAATGACCGCTGATTCACAGTTTATCACTTGCATAGTCATAAGACATGTATCTAGAGGTAACCCTCCAAATTTGAACCCATTCTGAGGTCTCTAACCCCAGAAACTAAATCAAATTTCAAAGGCTCTAAAACCTTCAAATATTTACGTCCTATGCCACTGGACCTGTCATCCAGTGGATCCTGACCCTGGAGCTTTCTACAAAGTTTCCAATCACTTCCAGACCATCAATCTTGACATGTTGAACAATAAAATGCATTTTTTCCGGACTCACTTTTGTCCCTAGTGGACCTGAGCTCAGAATGACCAAAATACTCCTATGGGGCTCAAACAGTGATTTCAAACCAAATGACCTCCAAATTGAATGCAACCACCTCCAGCAAGTTTCAAATGACATTTTAAATCTGTTGGACCTATTCCCAACCACTGGGTCAACCTGGTTGACTAAGTCAACAGGGTTGACCTAAGAGGTCCTTTAGGGTCTAAATATGTGATTTGATTGAATTGATCTCCCTAGACCTTGGGACCATATCCAATAGACTCAAAATGACATTTTAAATCTGTTGAAGCTATCTCCAAACCTTGGACCCACTTGGTTGACCAAGTCAACCAGTTTTGGCTTAATGGCCCATTAAGGGCCCATTAAGCTCTCTTGACCCAAATGACCTACATAAAGTTTGGAATGACCCTCACCAGCACCCATGACATTCTCCTAGTCTACATCATTCACCTCATTGACTGATTGATTGGTCAACATAGTCAACACAGTCTCTTAGGGGCTTTAGGAGACTTAAATGTTTAAGCAAATTCAAACTGCCTCAAGCCTATTGAACTTGGCTCAATCAACTAGCAAATCAAAATTCCTTCATGGCCACATCAGCACCCATTGACTCGTCAAATGGTCAATGGATGGTCAAATGAATTCTAAACATTGCCCAATTAACTCCTTAGGCTAATCCACTCAATATCAAATTATTCCAGCAACTCTAGGGTGCTCTAGAACCTTCCAAGACTCTATCACAGCCCTTGAATTTAAATCAAATGGCCCAAATCATCTCCAATGTGCTTATAAAAGGACACATACACCTTTCCACCTAGGATTTCCTTGTGTCCTTTTGATTCTCTGCTCCTAACAACCCATGGACATGTGGCAACATCCTAGCAACCTACCAAACACATCCCAGCCATCCAATAAGCCCTGGGCAGTTTGAATTGGCCAAAAAGAAGTAAAAAGGGCCACATTCAAAATTCCACACTCTCTCTCCATTCAAGCCTTTCCAGACCAAGAACACTTTTTGTTTTGGCTCAAGAGGTTCTCCTCTACATTCCAACACCCAGAACCCGACGGTTGGAGGCGGCCGGCAGCGAGGTTTTCGGCCAAACCGAGCCTAAACACCGTCCAGGGCTTCTAATTCGAGATCCAAACCTCCTCAGTCCTTGAACTCTTCTAGAGAAACAATTTAGGACAATCAAGGAGTTCAACGAGCCCTCAAACGTCAAAATCTATCCATTCTATCAAGGTAACGAGCCAACCCTAGTTAGATCTACTTAGATTTAAATAACTTTTCATAAAGCGCTTTTCAAACCGCAAAATAACTTCCCCATTATTCTATTCCATCATATAAAGCTTTATTTAAAATTTTATAAACTTTGGTTTAGCCATTTGAAAGAACGTGTCGTTCTTCATCTTCTAGGGTTTAAAACGTGCATGCATGCCTTGTACATTTTCTGGACCGTTGATCCCGCGATCAACGGTCCTGATTGTGTCATTCAACGGTTCGATCAGACCGCGAGATCAGATCCATTGTATAGATCTTTATCCGGCGTGATCTGAGCCCTCCATCCTGCACCGCAGGATTTGATTTTCGTCGTCGTATCTCTCTTTAAGGAGATCAACTGGTGGGATTGATCTCCCACCGTCGGATCGAACCCGCGCCGATCCAACGGTCGTGACAATTCTCTGAAGTGGTTAAGCCATGCGATATTTGATTCCGCGTCGCCGCCCCGCTGTTCTGGATCCTCCAATCAGCTGCCGCCACCTGGCCCGCCGGCGCTGCCATTTCTCTTATAATTAAAATAAATGGTTTTAAATAATTTTTTTTATTAACAAAAACTTCACAAAACTATAATAAATAAAATATTAGTCCAAAAATTTCATATAATATATCAATCTGTTCATATTTCTATCTACTTTATTCTAAAAATAAAATAAAACCCAATTTATTATTATTTTATTAATAAATTTAAAAATACAGAAAATCCTATTTTATTTTTAAGTAATTGTATATAAGTTATTTTCATCTAAAATTTGTCAAGAATATTGTTGAGCATGTTCCTCATCTCCAGCATTTTACTTATATTTATTTAAAGTATATTTTAGTAGTTATTAAATTTTAAGTATAAAACCACTTCTATATTATATATATATTTTTTAAAATTAAACTCTAAATAAATCTAAATCCACTTGCATTTATTCAAGCACCCATTTGAACCTTTAAACAGAGCTTTATCATGATCAAATAAATTTAATAGGGAATGTTCATTAGTTCGAAAAGTAATAGTACCATCATTGTCATTTGATTGAATTTTCAAGTAGTAGGTTTATTACTTAATGCTAATGCTTGGAAATTCATCAAGTCATGTTTCTCATATTAGATTTAGTGCACTA